GAGGAGGGAAGGAGCTAGTTACCCGAACGAAGGAGAGAGACGAGAGAAGAGATGAAGAGATGAGAGAGGAGAGGAGAGAGAGAGGAGGAGGAGAGAGAGAGACGAGAGAGACGGAGAGTGAAGAGAGAGAGGGAGATAGGAGAGAGAGAGCAGAGAGAGAGAGAGAGAAGAGAGAGAGAGAAGAGGAGCAGAGAGAGAGAAGAGGGAGAGTGAGAGAGCAGAGGGGGAGAGAGAGAGAGACCGAGAGCGGATGTTCGAGACGAAGGAGATGAGGGAGAGACGTATGAGACGAGGAGCAGAGAGAGAAGACAACTGAGATCCCCGAGAGAGAGAGAGAGAGAGAGAGCGAGAGAGTGAACGAGAGAGAGAGAGAGAGAGAGAGCGAGAGAGAGAACGAGAGACAGAGAGAGACGGGCAGTGTTGACATAACGCCACTAGTGTGTAACACTGAATAGACTACATCAGCGCTACCTGGTGGCATGTTTTGTGAGTGCAGGCAACCCCCGTAAAATACACGATATATTGTTGATATTATAGCCGGCACGTGATAATCAGGTTTATATTATGCGAATTATTTTAGTTGTGCAATCTATGCTAGTTGTGCAATTGTGACTGTACTGTGCAATTAATCCGGGAATTTTACTTCCTCTGTCATCTCCCGATCTTACCACTGGTTGTATCCTCACCAAGATAGCAAGCACACATGCCTGGGTCTCCCCCTCCCACATAGGCCTGGCTCCCCCCCTCCCACATAGGCCTGGATCCCCCCTCCCACATAGGCCTGGGTTCCTTCCCACACACGCCTGGGTCCCGCCCCCGTCCCACACTCGCTGCATGAGGTACTTTAAGTGGCTGTGTTTTACTTCGTAATAGACCAGAACCAACCAGTTTTCCATCTGGGAATATATTTCTGTGCACGTCAATTAAGTTGCCGTTTCCTTCGCTTGATTGTTTCGTTTCCCCCAGGCACGCAGTCGCGCTAACTGGGACATGCGCGTTTCTCCACCCGGCACCACACCCACGCTAACTGGGAAATACGCGTTTCTCCGTCCGGCAGGTATCCCGGGCCTCGCGAGCGGCATCGTCGCCGACAACTGGGACAGCTCGTACCTCGTCGACGGGGAGACGTCGCCGGGCGTCGCCGGCAACGCGCGCACGATGGTCGTCGCCGACATGGCGACGTCGTTTACGATCCTCGTCGGAATCTTCTTCCCCTCCGTGACGGGAATCATGGCGGGGTCGAACCGCTCCGGCGACCTCGCCGACGCCTCGCGCTCGATCCCGACGGGCACGATCGCTGCCATCTCCGTCACGAGCTTCGTCTACTTGTCGTCGGTCGTCCTCTTCGGCGCGTCGATCGACCGGCGCCTCCTGCTGGACAAATTCGGCGCGTCGCTCGACGGCGGCCTCATCGTCGCGCAGCTCTGCTGGCCGCACCCGCTCGTCATCGTCATCGGCTCCTTCATGTCCTGTCTCGGCGCGGGGCTGCAGAGCCTCATGGGGGCGCCGCGGCTGCTGCAGGCGATCGCGAGCGACGGCATCGTGCCGTTTCTGGCGCCGTTCGCGGCGAGCACGTCGCGCGGCGAGCCGGCGCGCGCGCTCCTGCTCACCGCGCTCATCTCCGAGCTGGGCGTGCTCATCTCGTCGCTCGACTACATCGCGCCCATCATCACCATGTTCTTCCTGATGTGCTACGGCTTCGTGAATCTCGCGTGCGCGCTGCAGACGCTGCTGCGCACGCCGAGCTGGCGGCCGCGCTTCCGCTTCTACCACTGGTCGCTGTCGTTCGCCGGCATGGTGATGTGCGTGGCGGTGATGTTCATCACGAGCTGGTACTACGCGCTCGCGGCGATCGCGCTCGCCACCTGCATCTACAAGTACATCGAGTTCCGCGGCGCGCAGAAGGAGTGGGGTGACGGCATCCGCGGGCTGGCCCTGTCCGCAGCCAGGTACGTACGTGTCCGTGTCCGCGCGGAGGGAGAGGGGGAGGGGAGGAGGAGGGAGGAAGGGCGGGAGGCGAACGGTTGGGACCGGGGGAGGTTGTGAAGAGGACGGGTGTTGGGGTGCACGGCATCCGCGGGCTGTCTTCGTCCGCAGGCAGTACGTACCGCTGCGTCCTGTGTTCGCCGCGGGGGGGAAGGCGGGAGGGCGGAGGTCAGGCAGGGAGAGAGGAGCAGCGGCGTCGAGAGGAGGGAGGAGGCAGGGGCTGGCCGGGAGAAAGAGTGGCGTGTGACGCATCCGCGGCCTGAGCCTTGTTTCGCAAGGCCACGGTACGTACGTGTTCCTGCATGTCCGCGCTAGGGGGACCGGAGGGGGCAGTGGAGGGAGGAGGAGTCGAGAGAGCCAAGAGCGGGTGGCAGAGGGGAGAGAGGCAGGGTGTGCGTTGTGTGAGGATGGAGCGGCGGGCGCGGCTGACGGCATCCGCCCGGCGCTGGCCACTGTCCGCAGCCAGTATGTCCGCTGGTCATGTGTCTGGCGGTCGGGCGGGGGGGCGTCGGAGGAGGCTGGGGGGGAGCGAGGGAGGGGGCAGGTGTGGAGAGAGCAGGGCAGGAGCGGGAAGGGGAGAGGGGTGGGGAGAAGGAGGTGCTGGTAATGGCATCCCGCGGGCTGGCCTTCTGTTCCGCAGCCAGGTACAGTACGTGTCCGTTCCGCCGCGGAGGGAGAGAGGAGCACGGAGGCAGAGGGAGGATTGGGAGGCGAGTGAAGCGGGGAGGAGTGTGGGAGCGAGGAGGTTGTGAACGGAGCGGAGGGGGTGGGTGGCGGGCCATCTGCAGCGCTGGCACTTGTACTCGCAGCCACGGTAACCGTACCGCTCCTCTCTCCGTGTTTCGCGCGGGGGGGCGGGAGATTGGTGAGGAGGGGGGCATGAGGAGCGGGCCGGATGGGGCGGAGGTGTTGTAGGGCCAGCGCAGGGTGGGGTGACGGCCATCTGCCAGGCTGGCACCGTCTTGCAGCCAGGTATGCGATACGTTGTCTTGTCGTTCCGCGCGGGGGGAGGGGGGAGCGGCCGAAGAGGAGGAGGGGAGGAGGGGGAGGTGTAAGTAGGGCAGAGGAAGGGGTATAGAAGGAGCTGGTTCACAGAAGCTAAGGTACGATTAAACTTAGCTCCAAGAAACGGTATTGCTAGGGTTAGAATATAGACAATCCGTCGCACAGCCTGGTCGGGCTAGAATAAACTATTATCTATCAGAGAGTCTGCGAGTGTATAATATGTAGTGATTCACATGCGAGCACACGCACGCACGCACTTTCTCTTTCTCGCTCACATTACGCTGTTGTCATGGATAGTAATGGGTGGTGATGCGTTTACTCGTGCTTGCATTGCTACGCAGCGGCGGCGGCGGCGGCGGCGGCGGCTGCATATCACATTACAGTTGCGTCTTTGGGGAAATCACGATTCGTTTCAGTCGATTAAAGCCGAGGCCGACGTCGCCGCGCGTGCGTGCGTGCGTGTGTGCGTGTGTGTGTGCGTGCGTGCGTGCGTGCGTGCGTGTGTGCGTGCGTGCGTGTGTGCGTGCGTGCGTGAGTCGCAGCAAATAAAAGTATCGGGCAGCCAGTGTTAACAGCCAGTATCTGTATCTGTGTACATGTATACTTGTAGATTTGTACATATATATCTGTGTACATGTAGATTTGTACATGTATCCGTGTACATATATCCATGCACATGTACATTTGTACATGTAAACCTTTACATTTATTTGCTGCATATGTATCTGTGTACATGTATCCGTCGTGTACATGTATCTGTGAACATGTAAATTTGTACATGTATCCGTGTACATGTATACTTGTACATGTATCCGTGTACATGTATACTTGTACATGTATCCGTGTACATGTATACTTGTACATGTATACT